AAGTCAAATGTTGGTTGTCTATGGTTGTTGTGGAGAGGAAGTAGTATAAGCTCGAGGATTACTGAACCTCACTTATATACGAACTTCATGAAGATGAGAGTGAAATCTCTGGAATGACCTTTTGGACTTCGTAAAGTTGAAAGTTCGTATATCACTGTATCAGAAAAGTTGGATACAAAATACAATAGAGAGCAGAACATAGTATTTTTTTGTTGCCATACCTTTCAGATTGTTTAAACAATCTATGCTCATAGTTCACTCTAATGTTACTCTTTGTTTTTCTTCTTCTTATTTTGAATTTCGTGATTTGTTGTTGTACATTGTTTATGTACTGTTTAGACTTTTAGTGCTTCAGTGTTAGTCCAGTTTTTCTAACGTATTGAAGGTATATTGTAAACTGTAGCTATGGAAACATTTCAAATTTAACTTGAACCAGCTATTTGTTTTGGGGTTTGTTTTAAACAAAAAAAAAACAATACGTATGTACGTAACTACGTATTCAGTACATACTGCTGCCCACCGCCCACCGCCCTCCATGATCATTGATCCGTGGACCATTGTGAAATTTGAAATTTGATTCTTTTTTTAAACAATGTTTTTGTTTAGAGTTTAGGAGTAGATCCACACTCCGAGTTTATATTTGAGAGCTGAGAGTTCCCAATTATTGACATCCGCCAGGAACCAGGAAGTTGTATACTACATAGTCTATAAATCAGTTATGACAAACAAGTATAAAAGCACGATGCCGTTGCTTGTACTATATATCAAAAACTGAATAGCACACTATAACCAAACCACCTCAAATACATCATAATGAGAGTTAACACAATCACTATTGCCGTGGCAGCTTCAGTCTGTAGTGCCATGCCTGTGACACAATACCCCCTCCTGCAACAACCGTCAGCACTTTCTTCATCTGGAGGACGTCTCGATGTCGATCTCACTGTGAGTGCCGGTAAGGTCCAGGGACCGTTCGGCATATCATACAACAGTAGACTGTACAGTAATGTGTATCCAGCTCCGACAATCCGCTGTCGAGCTGGAGATACGGTACGGGTCAAGCTTAACAATGAACTACAAGACAACAACGCAACACGAGAGAGCGAGATGTCGCTGAACGAATTACACCACCCGAACAGTACAAATCTACACCTTCACGGTATGCATATATCCTCTGAAGGACATCAGGATAATGTGGGACTTAGTATTAAACCAGGATTCTCGTTCCAGTACGTCTATGAGATAAACCCAAAGCATCATTCCGGGACGTCCTACTACCATCCTCATCTGCACGGTAGCACAAATCTTCAGGTGCATGGGCTAATGGCTGGCGCTTTCATCGTAGAAGATGATCCAAAGAAAACATCGCCTGATTTGCTTGCCATGGACGATTTGGTAGTCATGGTGCAGGGCATCTACATGGGCAACAGTGAAGCCTTTTTGAATACATGCGATCATAACGGAACAAGCAGCATGCCAGTGGAACTCGAAAACCCGGAGCAAGTGTCAGAAAACCTGCTTATAGTAAATGGCCAGTACATGCCGAGAGTCGAGTTTAAGATAGGTGAACTTAAGCGTCTAAGAGTTGTAAACGGGCTCAGCATGGAGGCACTCATGTTTGGATTGTCGGATGATGAGGCGTGTGACATCTATGAGCTCGCATATGATGGCGTATACCTTGAAGCACCGCGTGCTGCCACCAAAATATTCATACCTTCCGGCGGTCGAGTAGATGTGGCCGTACGATGTTCAGCATCGGGCTTATTCTCATTGACCACTGTTGCCGATGAGCGGCTGGCTGACTACGCACAAATCTGGGGACCAGTTCCTGGTCAACCGGGCAACATTGACAACACTCAAGCGCTACTTATGATTGATGTATCCGACAAGGCTAGTATCATGGAGCTCCCTGTAGTGTTGCCTGCACTGCCGAAGTATCTCCAAAAGGTACGAAGCCGAAGCAGCAACAAACATTCGAAGTGGAAGACCACATTTTCAGTTGAACTTTCCACAGCAGAGGGAGCGAATGCCATCAACAATCAGCCATTCAACCCCACAGAAACGCTCAATACCATTCACTTAGACAAATACTATCAATGGAATCTGTCCGCAGGCGAAGGCTTCCAGGAAGGCGAGGGCTATCCCCAGCACCCATACCATCAACATATCAACCACTTTATGATCACCAATGACGACCCAATTACCGATGGTATGCTTTTCCGCAAAGGTGACTTTCGCGATACCATCCCACTTTTCGCTAGTACGCCTGTAGATGTTCGATTCTATACGGCTGACTACGCCGGACCTATGATGCTGCACTGTCACAATCTTGGACACGAGGACAAGGGTATGATGGGCGTTGTAGGCATTGAAAAGTAAAATATTATAAATAAAACTCCGTGAATTCTATAATAGATTGTGTTTACGAACCTATCGTATATGCATATATGACAACGGCGACAGCTGCCTGCAACACAAAGCGTCTATCAATATCGTCTTTAATATTTGAACTCTCTCTCGTAATTCTCCGACTCATGCTGATATGGACTGGATCAAATGAGAAGTATGCAAATCAAACAATGTATAAATAGTATATACGTACTTGTCTTCTTATCCTATATGTAGTTTATAAAAGTTCGCTGTATTGTAAGCTGAGACTCCCCGGCCTTAAGCCGTACAGCTATACCACTTCGACGATCCATGGCGTTCAATACTGTAGTGGCCTAGCTGTATTTGCGGCACGAGCTCTATGTTAATACATCAAGGGACATCTATATGATACCAGCACATATGTATCCAAGATATCAGCATATAGTAATCGTGCATAATGTGTTGTGCCTTT